AGTTTCTTTTTGTGTATAAAGGAAATAAATTTATTATTATGTTAAGGACTTAAATCTCGTAAATATCGTTCCTCCTCTTAAATTCGTGTTTTTATCATTCGGTCCTGGTTTGCGGTCATCTGGTAGACGCTTTCTCTGTCTTTTGTGTCTACGTAACTATCTGAAATGGATAGAAACTAAATGTATGTGCTATATATGCTAAAAGTGAGCTTTTCCTGCTGCGATAAACAGCGACTATTTGTGTCCGTATAAACAAGGCGTAATCGCCCCCGGCGTAGCCACTTTCCTTTTTCCTCTTTTACTTCCGTCTATCCGAACTCATATCCTTAATGTATGCCCATCACTAAGACGTTGGTCGCCAGTTCCCACAGCGATATCCCACGATCAATGAGGTTTCCTCACAACCCGTACCCGCTACCCTGGCCCTCTGCCAAAGCAGGTGCTACCTAGGGAAAAGTTACGATTAACTTGTATGACTCAAATGTCTTTCTCCATTCTCCCGATTAATAGTCGATACTTCATTTCGACGCATATCACGTGCACTCGTGCATCGCCATGCACGACTAGTTATTTTTGTTTTACCTTTGAACCTTTGTTCATTTCCCTCGTAACTGCTTGATCGTTGAACATAGGTTTCTTGTCAACTCCGTCCTTTGCCTAGCAGTGTTATTATGCGTAGTAGCAAGTTTTCTTCGACAAGCTGCATCGCGATACACTTTCTCTTGATGGCAGCAGCAGCAACAAGAACAACAACAATAGTATAGAGCAGCTCATTATGACCTGTCCAGTTGTGTAGGGGCTGACTTTACCTCTGTAATAGCAATGATTCTATTAGCAGGGGTAGTCATCGGTCACTGTAGATCTGTTTTTAGGCCTACCGTCTCTGCCGCTTGTGACCATGAAGAATAGCACACGAATCGAAGCCAACTGAAGCTATTTGCCCTCCAAAACGTTGCGCTGTCCTCAGTTTCCTAAGTCCTTTATACCCTTACGCACTGCTTTATGCCTCTTCCTCATTGCTCCCAACCTTTATATATTTCACAGTGACGTTGTATTAGAAGTCATCTAAGTAACCTTGGTGTGACTTCAACCGTGTAACTGGGTTAGATGAGCATTGCCAAGAAAATAGAAGAAGACTATTTATCACAGGGACAGTCGTATTTCTCAGTAAGACAACTATATATTTGTTTTCCATTATCGTCCTTCTAGTTAGGCTAGTAACCAAGCGACAAAGTAAAAACGAATAAGTATTCCTTTTTTCCTTCGCTTTTCTCGATTCTCATTTCTATCTGCCCATGTCAAAGCCCCTTGTTTCGTGTAGCCAAATTATGCGTATATGCAGGTCGTTGTAGGTTTGTGGACGGTACGTCACTTTGTGTGCTCGAGAAACTCATGACGGTCAGGGCCAACTGTTTTTATGAACATTCTGGCAGATTTTGCTCATTATCGCAACGAAATTTCGTACAACAATTAGGACGTTGAAAATTTCTATTACAAACATACTCATGTTTTTAAGAAGTGATTCTGTTATGCATACTAAGCGCCGCAACTGGAAGCTATGTTCAAGTTGCCATTAATTATCGCTTTACTTGCATTAGTTTGATGTAATGCTCAATGATTTTTAGTTGTTTCCGTCGTCAAAATTGTTTTTCCACATAAATATGTCTCATAAATCTTGCAAATCGTATCACAATACTTCCTCATCTGTAGCATAGGAATCTATAGCAAAGTCTGGACGAAACGCGAGATCTCATTTAAATAATTTCGGAAACAACAAAAGTCAACAATTTCGGATCAGCGAGAGGAAAAGAAGCTCACTGCAGAGCGGCCGCAAACCTATTAAGCGTGCGGAAGATCTTCGCTCTATTCAAGATAGTCGAACCTCTACGGTACAATTACACTATCTATATTCGAATAGATGTTTACTGAAAGAATGCGCGTACCTTGCTTATATCAGGGTTTACACAAATATAGCTTTGTAATAATTCGATGCTAGACGTTAGAATGTAGGTATTGATCCAAGGGGTATATGGGGCGCGAAATTGTATGTGGGCACATTCCTTATTCGCTCTGAGAGCCAGTTGTCCTGCAATACAACGTCCTGTCGCACCGGACGTACAACTCGAAGCATTTTAAACGCTGATACGTACCAATTTATGAGTCAAAAATAATTGTTTTGGCACGTCGCTTAATTAGCGTAATTAGCTTAGGAGGCAACGGATGGCAGTCAACTGCTACGAAAGAGTCACTTTATTGATCATTCAAAAACATTGCCGAGCTCACAAGGTTCGGCCCCCAGGGGGCCTAGCCAATTATTTGAACAGCTATCGTACTCATTTATTATCCTACTACAGACCGAATATATTTCAACTAAATAAGAAAAAAGATTTGGTTCCTTGAAATTCATCGCTGTCAATAGCTGAACGGGTAACAGTTTAGTCGACAGTGCGTTGGATGACTGATTTGATGAAGTATCACTAGTAAACGTTCCAATTGCTATTTCAACAACACGAATCGTTGCATCGGAAGGATCTTCTTAATAATTCCATAACTTTTGTAATGGAAAAAAATGCTGCCTAAATAGATAAAACGGTGGTCTAGTTAGCAACGTAACGAGATCTGGTTTGAGGACCGGAAAAACCGGTGACGGGTTTCGCATGCGCTTAACATGCAAAACGTTTTAAAGGTTTCGACATTGAACGTATGCGAAATTTATTTTCCCCCAAACAAACGCCTGTGTTAAGCCATTCGAAGTGCCGTAAACTTCAACACTCGGTGCCAAGTGGTCGGCTGGCATCGGCACAGTCTGAGGCTAGACGTGCCCAGCGACTGCAGCCGTTGGTGCGAATGACCCTAAAACCAATTCGACATGGAGAACTAACGGGTACAACCATCGTGGTTGTAAAAATTTATGGTACCGAATGGGTCTGGTCATATCCAACGTGCGCGTTTTGTCCTTCCTCTTTGGCCTGCCTTGAAAGGTTTGGGAAATAATGCCTTCGAAGACCACACGAGTTTGCGCATTGAGATAGCAACCTAGTTGGTTTTTGAAATATTGCTATGTGGAATTTAGCGGCTTGAAAACATTATGAGCATTTTTTCATTATTTGCAATAGAAAGCCTTCGAGAGAAACGTAGTTCCTGTTAAGGGACTTCAGTCAGTAAACATAATATGCCTAGTATACCAAAACAGAGTCTTCGGTATTTTCTGCATTGGGTGGGCTTAGTTTGCACGGTATTCCTAACAGTTTAGTCGAGGTATATACCAAGGGTCACAAGGGCTGAACTTAATTATTAATATGAACAAAAATGCTTAAGCATGGAACGCTGAAGGCTCATTCTTGTCCAAGATCATAGCCACATTAGGATCGTCGCTCCGATTCTCTGAATTACGCTTTGTGACAGACAGAGGAGCTTTCACTCTAATATAAGCGGCTTCATGCATGGGACTGGTAACATGTACATATAGTCAAACTATAAGATTATTTTCGACAGCTTGACCTCTATTCATTAATCAGCTTATAAACGTGTGCGCTAAGCCTGAACCACTGGTACTAGGAAGCACCTTTCATTTCATTTCATTTACTCACACTGCCTTCCATTATACCGACTAGGATAGCGGACTACAACAATGAACCGATGATGGTTTGCTAAATGAATATGACTTCGATCGAATATATCCTATAACAAT